AATTAAATAATATAATCAAACCAAAACTACTGAAATTTGAAATATAGTGCCAAGTTCGCACATCACTGAGCAAAGTCGCAAAATCGTTTTCAGTGTCTGATGATGAATTTCCCCACGAATCATCACTCAATTCTGCAAGTAGTTCTAAATTACTATCGCTGTTCTCTAGCTGGTCTAAAACTGCTTTTGACCTAAAGGGACGCTTTTTGGACGCCATGGACATTTTTCAGTTTCCAGGCAGAAAGAACAGTAAAAATGCAGGCAGGGCACAGGACAAAGCACTAGGGACAAAATGTATGTGAACTGGTTTGATACAGTAATGTTTTACTATGTGATTTTAGTGAATGTCACTTTTACAACTTTCAAATTTCCTGCCAGTTCCGTCCCACGTACGTCCCGACATCGCAGGGAACGGAACCCAGAAGACAGATGCCGGCATCCACCGGAGGACATTGCAGGGGACCCTGCAGGAGGGACATCGCGGGAGCGCAGGACAAGGTAAGTGAAGAAGAGATCCCGGAGCAACGCTGCAAGGTATTCTCGAGTGCAGCTGTGCTGCAACTTTACCCCGAGCTACACTCAGGAATACCGCCAGGGAGGTTAATATACACTTACTGGGATTTTTTTTTTTTAACTAAAGACATGTAGCAAAATACATTTTGGCCTAAATTTATGATGAAATTTGAGGTTATTGTATATTTTTTATAAAAGATATGCGAAAATATTGGGTTTTCAAAATGTTCTTCTTTTGTTTATAGTGTAAAAATAAAAAACCCAGAGGTGATGAAATACCACCAAAAGAAAGCTCTATTTGTGTGCAATTGCCAGTTAAAATTGAGCAGCGCGGAATAGCAAAAAATGGTTTGGTCGGATTACAATCTTCCGGAGGGCAAGTGGTTAAACTGCCTGGATTTGTGGGTTAAATGTTTAAAGAAGGACATGCAATTTTAAAAGAAAAAGGGTGTTACTAAGCCTTTGAAAGACGCAATGCTTAACGCAATAGTAATACTTTAACCACTTCCCGACCGGCCGTTGCATATAAACGGCCGAACGGTGGCAGTGCAGGGTCGGGTGGCCATTTATGAACGGCCTCCCCGCACCCTGCTTGTGCGCGCTCCCTGGGAGCGCGCAGCACCGCGATCCGGTGCCCGCTGTGTCCTCCGGACACAGTGAAACACCGATCGTCGGACGGGACCTCTGTACGAGGTCCCGATCATGTGATCACTGATTGGCCAATCAGTGATCACATGCAAAGTAGTAAGCAAGATGTCACTTGTGACATCATTGCTTACTACGTGTGAAATCTGTGAATGATCACAGAGGTCACATGGTACAAGGCTATTCACAACAGCCTTGTACCATGTGACAAGGTGTGACCAATCACAGCTCACTCTGTATTTCTCAATGAGTGCAGGAATGCACACAGAGAGAAAGAGAAATGATTGCTTTTACATCCTATATGGGTGTAAAAGCAATCACTGTAAAAAAAAAAAAAAAAAATCTTCATCACCCCCCACAAGTAGTACAGTGTCACCATGGTGACACTGTACTGCTAGGGTGACAGTATGTAAAAAAAAAAATAAAAAAATAATATAAAAAAAAAATAAAATAAAAATATAAAAAAAATGTTTAAAAATTATAATTTTTGGTTATAAACTAATTTGTTTTTGTTTTTTTGTTTTTTACTAAAAAGATAACGAAATACATTTTGGCAAAGATTTATGATGAAATATTATTTATTTGCAAACTTTTATTAAAAAAACACTTTTGTTCAAAATTTTTGAACTTTTTCATTTACATAGCAAAAAAAATAAAAATCCCAGCAGTGAATAAATACCACCAAAATAAAGCTTTATCTGTCGCAAAAAAAAGGGTAAAAAATTAATTTGGGTACAGTGTTGCATGACTGCGCAATTGTCATTCAAAGTGTGATAGCGCTGAAAGCTGAAAATTGCCCTGGTCAGGAAGGGGGTAAAAGTGTCCGATCTGGAAGTGGTTAAGAGAACAGGGAAAATAAGAAGGCAGTATAAACTGTAAAACTTAAAAAATATTGGAAGCCATAATTAAAATTAGATTACAATATGTCAGTTAAATATTGTATGTAAGGGACACAGTAGTACAATTCACACTAGGATCAGAGCCACACAAGGCACCTCTGAGCTCCATTCAACAGCCAAACTCTGTCACATTATGCATTCTTAATTTAATCAAAACTGAATGAAGATCTGAAACATGTTGCCAGAATCTATGCCATGTTTGCCAAGAAGCAGGCAGGGTATATTGCAAGAGCGAGATTTAAGTTATTAAAGTCTTATGGTGCCCATACACTAGACGAAAAAAACTGTTTGAAAATTTGTCATTTGGACAGTTTGTTGGTTTTTCGTCCAGTTAATGGGCACAAATAGAAAATCAGTTGTGATGTTTTTGGGGCAAAATAAAAAAAATTGAAGGAAACGTTTGAAAAACCTCTGCAGAAAGGATGATAAATTGAAAGGTTAACGTGTTTTCTCACTTATTAACAATCGAAATGTTCAGACTGCACATATGTGACAAAATGGGCAAAAAAACTGATTAATTTATTTCCATTAAACAGTTTACGGTTAGAAAATCGGTCATTACTCGATGACAATAACATTTGCTCTCACAACCATGTGTTCGTTTTCGACAACACGCTCAAACGATTTTCCGACTAGTGTATGGCTAGCATTACTTTCAAAACCTGAACCATATATTGAAAATGAGAAATAAAGTGACAGTGCCAGTGTCATGATATATTCCCAGAGTCATGTTACAAAAGTCATTTTGGCTGAATCAGACTAGGAGCCCAAAACAGAACAATATTGCCAGAGCTACTACCATTTAATCAAATCATATACTCTAATCTTCTAATCTATAGCTAGGACAAGAATTATTCAAAAGACAGTGACAGTTAAAACACAAATTTATAATAACAGCTTGTGGAAAGAGGATTTAAAAAAAAATGTCAGGCTGCTGTATTCTAAATATACAACTACTAAGTCACTAAGCAATTCTCATAAAAACAAGAAATAGTATTTCCAATTATTTATTTTCTACAGATGTGCACTGATACAGAGACAAAGAAACCTAACAGAAGAGAATCCTTTATTTTGCATATTCCAGTTCATTAATATGAATAGAAGTTGTTCTACTCCTAAAAAACTTGTTCTACTCCTAAAAGTACCCTTCATTTATCAGCTTTGTACACACACTGGGCACGTTTATAAATTGAGCAAAGTTTTAAAATTTGCTGTACATTTATGAAGCATAAATGCCTAACTTGTTTTAAAACTTTTTTTTTTAGTTTTGTGAAAGACTAGAGCAGGGCTGGAACATCTGTCAGATTTATATTGTGGTCCTACTGACATCAAATGCCCTCTTAGGGTGCCTGTGCTTTTCCCATGAAGAGCAAAGCAAGAGGTACACTTTAATAATGGCCCCCTGCCGCCGTTTAAAATCACCTTCACTTTGCTTCTTTGCCAGAAGCAAAGAGAACTATTTGCAGTTATAAGCAGGCATGTGATCTCCCTTCCATTCTACCATGTGAAAACCCTGAAGCTTGCTAGTGCAATCAAATGGAGTTGGGAGAAAGTTCTCAGCCATGTGTTAGCTCCAACTAGGATCGACTGGTAGCAGACGGGGAAAGAAAGGAAGGAAAGCATAAACTGCAGCATGGGCAATTTTTAATTGATTTTGGTGATTTGGTTTGTATAGGCAAAGTATAGGTACATTGTAATAGTTTTACTGTAAAACCAAATTACAAATTATAATAAACAAGTCAAACATAATTGATATTGGTTATTGGAAACCACCAAATGAGACAGTATTATATTGTGTGATTGCAATAAATAAATAAAAGCAGTACAAATTCTACAAGTTAATGTAACTTAATAAATTAAACTTGCAGTTACTTAAAAATCTATATGTGGCCATGAACATTATTTAATTTCATATTGTACATTCTATTATAATGAAAGTGCATAACGAAGAAACCAACTTTTGTTTTATTTAATGTATAAATATAACTTGTTGCTAATGCAGCTATATGTTTTACTATGCTTCAATTCACAGTGTCCTCTCCTTGAATGGAGACACAGACGTATCATGAGCAGACGTGATACATTTTCTAAATGTCACCCTAATGCCTTTTAGACGAATCCTGGTAAGGATACATCTGCTTCCACTTTGATCTGCATCACAGTTTTTTAAATCCCAATATATCCTCTCCTAATGCAAGCACACAGTCAGACAGGATGAGATCACAGTCTGACCCTTGCAAGCAAGTGATCTCCTACTCAACTGTTTAACCATAGACTTCTGTTGCCGACACCACCTGAGGATGACATGTATTATCTTTTCAAAAGTCCCTGGCAAAGCTGTGTGTAGCACCAAGGTGATTGTTAATGTCAACACAGACTAAGGCATGACTTTGATGTAAGTCACAGGAAGGGTCCAGCTTTCTAGTGATCTCTATGGCAAAGGAATAGGAGCTGAGCAGTCTCTTATGGAAATATACAATTTTACTCTATATGAGAAATCTGAGTGCCCAAGTCACGTAAGTGGTGGGAATACAAGATAATTATTAATATCAAGCAGACCTACTCCGAAAACTGATATAAGGAATATTTTTTTTTCTAGGCAAACAGCAAATAATATAATTCAATATGAGAATGTGACTTGTAGCCTGTGGTAAAACTGACATCCTCAAACACATCTACAGCAACCTTGCTTAGAAGGGTGCATAACATTTACTGTAGCAGAAGCAGCAAAATCACCATTGCCTGACAGCTAAGAGACTGACCACAAGTACATGGATGATGAAATGTTTCCCTTCCTTTAATTTACGAGGGACTTTCAAGTCACACCGGGACTTTTAATTAAAAGGGAAGCTAGCATTGTGGTACTACACGCAGTAGTAAGGGTGTCCTATTACGGATAGACAGCGCACATGTCGAGGGCCAGTCCAGAGACCGTTAGTCAAGATGGCAGACAACAGTGTTAGTGTGTGCATTGAATTGCATGTGGTGATGAAGGTGAACGAAGGTGTAAAATCCATGGAAGGGAAGACTTCAAGCACAGTACAGTGATGAGACGCTCAGCAGCAGTAAGACATCTGAATGGCGTAAACGTTTCAAAGATGGCTGTAAGTCCGTCAGTGACGATCCCGGCCATGGTGGTGCCCAGCCCACAGCAGTCATTCCTGTGAACATTCAGCGTATGGAACGCCTGATCCTGGATAATCAGTGCATAAGCTGTTGTGAAATTGCACAAGAGATGAACCTTTCTGTGGGAACAGTGAACACAATTGCTGACAAAGTGAAGCAGCTGTCCCAGGATGGTTCAGGTGTACTGACAAATCTTTCTATGCCAAAGCTTTCCAGGCATTAGGTAAATGCTGGGATAAGTGTATAAATGTAGCAGGGGAGTATGTCGAAAAATAAATGCAGTTTCCACTCCTTGAAATTTGTTGTTTTATTATATAAACTCAAAAGTCCCAGTTTGACTTGAACAACCCATTTCAAATGCAATGCAGGCCAGTTATTTAACAGCACATTAGTGCCACAACTAACTTTATGAATACATTTATAAATACATTTATAAGTTTACACTTGCCAATCCTCTGTATTGGTTGATATAAATATATACTGCTCTTCTTACAAGCTCGGCCTGTCTGAAACGGGACTTAAGTAAGCATTCTTCAACTCTCTGCTCTGCTCAGCAGTACTAGGGAGTTCTTGCACACTTGTCCCACAGGGATCATGCACCATATGAGCCCCGAGTCACATCCAGTATATTGCCAAAAGTATTGGGACACCCCTCCAAATCACTGGATTCAGGTGTTCCATTCACCTCCATTGCCACAGGTGTATAAAATCAAGCACCTAGGCATGCAGACTGCTTCTACCAACATTTATGAAAGAATGAGTTGCTCTCAGCAATTCAAGCGCGGTACCTTGATAAGTTGCTACCTGTGCAATAAGTCCATCGGTGAAATTTCCTTCCTACTAAATATTCCACAGTCAACTGTTAGTGGTATTATAATAAAGTAAAAGAAACTGGGAAAAACAGCAACTCAGCCACCAAGTGGTAGGCCACATAAAAAGACAGCGTGGGGTCAGCGCATGCTGAAGCACACAGTGTGCAGAAGTCGCCAAGTGTCTGCAGAGTCAATAGCTAAAGACCTCCAAACTTCATGTGGCCTTCAGATTAGCACAGCAGTGCGTGAAGAGCTTCATGAAATGGGTTTCCATGGCCAAGCAGCTGCATCCAAGCCTTACATCTGCGTCAGATGCAGTGGTGTAAAGCACGCCGCCACTGGAATCTAGAGCTTTGGAGACGTGTTCTCTGGAGTGACGAATCACGCTTCTCTGTATGGCAATCCGATGGACATATCTGGGTTTGGCAGTTGGCTGGAGAACGGTTCTTGCCTGACTGCATTGTGCCAAGTGTAAAGTTTGATGGAGGGGGGATTATGGGGTGGGGTTGTTTTTCAGGGGTTGGGTTTGGCCCATTAATTCCAGTGAAGAGAACTCTTAAGGTGTCAGCATACCAAGACATTTTGGACAATTTCATGCTCCCAACTTTGAAAAAAAACACACTGAAACCATCCCTGCACATACTTGAACCCGGTCTAACTCCCTGCTTACCTTTAAAGTATGGCACACTGTTGGCTGATCCTCTGCCGCTCAACTGTCATTCTGTGCCCCACTAGAGTACACACACTATGAAGTGACTGCACACCCAACTCACAGAAAAAGCATGTACAATCAGATCACATATGTAGAAAGCACATGCAACAAGAGAACACACACAACAGCTGCAGCACTTACAGGCAACACAGACAGACACTGGCTGTATGTTCTATGACTGCTTATGCTCTGAGTTCATAGACAAAGATTACAGACTGTATGCACAAAGCACATACAGCTTGCACAATCTGCATATATACACACTGAACACAAAGCATGCAGTCAGAATACACACAACACATAGGGAAAGAACAGTCTGAGTCTCACCAAGCACACAGGGAACATACAGTCTAAGAACAGCAAACAGGGCACATATAGACACAACACAATCTACAATACCACTTTGTAATTTTGTGCCAGATAACCACCAAATAGATAGACCAGCCAGGTAGACCAAATAGAAGGTAGTTCATTTTGCAGAAACATTATCCATGTCGTTGCCAGAAATCAAGATCGTCTTGTTGGCAAATAATAATAATAATCTTCCTTAGATTTCTGCCCGTAGGATATCCTTATGTTCTTTTCGCATATAATGCATGAATTTGTGCATGTGGGATACTTCCCTGTTGTTTGTTTGCATGGAAGGAAGAGGGGTCTAGTGGAATATGATGGCTTGATTGACCCACAAATGCAATACACTTGGAATACACACAAGAAAAGGTAAGACAGCATGTATCTGTGCAATCAATTGTTTACTTCGCACAAAATTACAAAAAAAATAAGTTGTAATTCCAGTCTAGCAGATAAATAATCTCAAGTGGTTTCAATTGTCATGCCACTGCTGTATGCAAACAATGAAGCCATATTGTCAGATCTCTATCTTGTTATCTTGCAGCAAAAAGTTTGTGTCTGTTGAGGGAACCTTAACCCAGTCATAGATGGAGCTATTTCTTTCCTGCAATTGCTCAATTTCCCCATCAACACAGTCAGTGTTGATGGGGGAATCCTTCCCGTGGAGCCATTTTGTTCTCCCGGTGGGGGGGAGCTGTCCCTGCTGGGAGACCACAATGATCACTGCTAGCAACTATAACAGCCTCTAGCATTAATTGCATGTAAAATCTAACAGGCTGGTTGTACCCAAGTTGATTGATCGATCAACTTGGGTACATTCAGAGCCTGCCCAGACATGGTTCGAACCATGCCGAGATTCGAACCATGTATGGGCAAGCTGAATGTACCCAGTAGCCTGTTGGATTTTACATGCGATTAATACTAGCGGATATTATGGCCACTAGCAGTGATCACTGTGTGATCCTAGCAGGGACAATTCTATCCGCTGGGTGAATTCAATGGCTCCACGGGTACAGTCAGTCGAGCGATTTTTGTTCCTGCAACCTGTGGTTCGAACTGTTTATGCCCAGCTTCATAGTGTTTCTAAACCCAAAAGCAGCTTGCCAGTCTTTAGATGAGCTGGCCGCATTAGTTTTCTTTTTTCAGGCTTTCATTTTATTATCATCTAGTAATCTGGTGAATAACACACTTTCTGTCCCTACAATAACATCTTCACTGTATCTATAGAGAAAGCTGTGGTTGACACCCAGGCTGGACTTCAAACTTGTCTGTCTTTGTTCATCTCCATTACATGGTGGATGGGGAAAATATGAAATTTACAGTAGGATGACATGCTTCCAGATCAGCTCACAAGATCAGATATTTTCTGTACTTTCTGAAAACGTTTTAGAAGGAACAGCCTAAAACTAATGCAGTTATTCTTTAAGACAATGCTATAATTCTTCTGCACATGGGTTGCAGGCATTTAAAATGAGCCCTTAAGCACAGAAATGAAAAGCAACAGATATAATTTGAACAGCAGGGGGAGGAGAGCCAAGTTTTATACTCTGAAGAGAAACTACACCCTAAGGCCACGTTCACACTGGCTTTGTCAGCAGGAGTCAGACAGGCATTTGGGAAGCGTTTTTAATGCTTCTCAAATGCCTCTGAAAATTCTGCATATGGCAGCCCACAGTGCTGTTCACATGGAAGCATTAGCATCGTGGCAAAAATGACGCCTCTGGTCCAGTCAGGAGGAGTTGAAGCCTCCCATTCAAGTCTATGGTGCGGTTGCGAGGCATTTGCAAAGCTTTAATACCATTTAACTTCATTATAGGCATTTTTGGTGCCGTTTTAATGCTTGGAAAACGCCTTTCAACCGCCTCAAAACCGCGCTTCGGGTGTTTGGGGAGCGTTAAAAACGCTTCACAAACACCTGTCTAACGCCTGTCAAAGGCTATAGGGGCGTTTGACAAGAGTTAGAAATGAAGTCAAGTGTGAACAAGCCCGATAATGCTCAAAGGGTACAATGGTCTTATATAAATGCCAATGACAGTGCAAAAGATGAAGTGAACAAAACATCATACACCTGGACTGGTATGAACAGAGGAGAAGTTGGAAGTATGTATTAAAGTGGAACTTCACCTAAAAGGGGGAGTTCTGCTTGTTTACATCACCTCCACTGCTACATTTGGCACTTTTTGAGGGGGAGGGGGGAGCGGGTACGTGCATTTGACAGGTACCTATTCCCACTTCCGGTTAAATGTGCCATGGCGCAATTCTTCCCCCCCATCCTTCCCCTGCAGCCCTCTGGGATACTTCACAGGTACCAGAAGACTGCAGGACCATTCACAAAGCACACCACGCTTCACGCATGCACAGTGGGACACCAGCTGTAAAGCCACAAGGCTTCACTACTGGTTTCCCTTTCTGAAGATGCCAGCACCTGCACCCAAAGCCAAATAAAGAATCGGCTTGGGTGCGGACACTGCTGGATCCCTGAACAGATAACTGTTCTTATATTAAAAGTCAGCAGCTACAGTATTTGTAGCTGCTGACGTTTAATTGTTGGGGGAGCCTGGAGCTCCACTTTAAGGTGAAAAGCCAAGGTGGGGAGTTGTTTATAGCAAAAGCTTCCAGAGAACACATTGAGCTGCTGGTACAGAAGGAATATATTCAGATGACATCCCAGCAAACAGGCACATATTTGTAGTACAGTGTGCTAAATGATAACACATTATTACTCTGGACAGGAACCTCCAACAGTGTGTCGGCTGCTGTATTTCACAGTCATTCCTAATACTAAATATATTTCAGTCTTACATGGCAATGTATAGAATGGCCAGTGTCCAGAGAAAGATGTGCTTATGCTAAAATATTTTCCACATTAAAAAAAAAAATCTGAAAATCTGATGCTTAGAATGGATTTTCAGTTTTGGGAAGTGAAAAGTAATTTGAAGACATACACTAACTGCATTCTACTGGAGCTATGTGAGAAATATCTTTGCTATGTTTAATTTTCACTAACCTACCTATTTCTAGTACAGTTGCGCTGGATATTGTTTAAAAAAAGTATATTTATAAATCAAAAAGAAACAACCATACTATGTGCAGTAGCTGCTCACCTACAGCATTTCATGCTTTTGTGTTATCTTTCAAAGCCTAAGTGTGTGTGTGGTCTCTGATCTCAGTGTTCAGACACCACGGCATAATCCATCAATTTTCTGCTTCACCATCACAAGCAGTTTTATCTTTCTGCTGTAAATGCTGATACTACTTCACGCCGTAAAATAGCAGATGGAGATTATAACACATCTGCATGTTAAAAATAAATGGACTGATTATTGCAAAGAGCTCTGTGATTATGGAATTCCTAAAACTAAAGGAATTGGTGAAATATTTTTCTATTATAAAACATATACACTAGCAAAAGTGTGCACAGAACAAAGCATTGGTACAGCATGCGTTGGTGCAGAGGAAGGCGTTGGTGCATTGGCAAGTGAAGAGAGGGCATGTAGGAGAGGTGATGAAGATGAGGGGAGGGGGAATGGAGGTCAGGCTCAATAGTGAAGACGGGTTGGTGTACAGGTGTGGTGTGGGTGGAGGAGGACGTGGGTCAGCTGCAGTGGTGAAAGCATAGGGTGGGAAGTTGGTGTGAAGGTGCAGTGCTGGGGGGGTTCAGGCATGGTGGTGAGTAGGGGGGTGCAGACATAATGATGGCATTGGGGGGCTAGCACTGTGGTGGTGAGGGGGGGGGGGGATGAGGAGCTGTCAAATGCAACTCCAAATACATTCTTACCTGATATCAGCAAAGTCTGGGCAGGGGGTGTGGTGGTGTGGGCTGCCAGGCTGAAGATTATGGTACCTGTGTAAACTGAAGCACAAGCTGGGGAAAGGGGAGGGTGAGCTGAGGACACACCTGCTGCAGGGAGTGCATGGCATGTGCCAACTGCTGGGTATGGCTGTTGAGGATGGCGCTGGTCTACATTTAAATGTTGATCAAGAATATTGGAAAAAACCTCCTGCGCTCAATGCTAATAAACTAAAATAGGCTGCTACACCTGCACCCTATTACCTAAAGTGGAAAACCAAAAATAACAACAAACAATAAGTGTAGCGCTCTGTACCAGCAAACTAATCTAAACACAAAATAAATGTGAGATGATGGTGGAAAAAACAGTGAAAACTATTTAGTTAAAGTAAAAAATCCTACAACAGTGCAACATCACATACTATTGTACATATAGTGAAAAATAAGCCCC